ACTGGGGCTTGTGCCGGTATAGAAATGTCCTTTCGAAATCACATCCAATCAGCGGGGCTGTGCCAATGAATGTTCTGAATGTAGACTCGGCCTTAGTGTGTCTGAGGGCATTTGCGGGAGGTGGCAAGTCTAGCATTATGAATTATTGGTAGTGATTTGGGGGTCGGTCAGGTCCGGTGTCTGTATTCAGACAACATTCCAGGGGCGTCAATGTGGGTTTTGCCAGAGTATGGACAGTGTCACAACCTCTGGCCAAGGCACTATGTTTCTGAAGGACACCTGTCCAGCATGCCTCAGACACTGCCCAGCTTCGTCCTCGCCCACTATTCAAAAACTATCATCAAGCAAGATGATTAACACTGGCAAGGAATAAGATGCAATGGGCCAGTTCTTCTGCAGATGTAAATGGGCTTTGCTCTGCTGAAACCATTGGGGTAACACTGATTTACACCAGCTCAGGATCTGGCCCATTAAAAGTCCAGGTCAGGAGGAGGTGGGCAATAAATAAATGCACAGTAGGGAGCGTATCAGATCTGAGCGAGTGGGGTCGTATTAAGAGACAAGCCCTGTGAGCAAAGTTTTTGGGGTGTTGGTTCCATGCTGAGCTGGTGGTTCCGAGTTGTTCCCAAGTTGGAAAGTTTGAATTCACAAGAAAAAATGTTCACATACATTTTTTTGAATTATTTTTTGCAAATGTAATTCACAAAGGTTGATGGGAACTGGTGCCTTATTTTTCACTTGTCCCCATTCAGTGAGCAGCTGTAGGACAAGAGGATGGAAATGGGTGCCAAAGGGTCTATAGGCCAGGCTCTCTCTTAGCAAAGGCCCAATCTCTCACCAAAAGGCTGGGGCGGGGGTGAAGATGTGGTGACAATCTGCAATGCAGGTAGAACCTGCACCAGCAAACCCTGGTGCTCTCTCCTCATCTCACCTGCCTCTGAGCGCTCATTTGGACTGAAAGATGGACCTTGACCAAATACCATGCATGAATGGTAACTCAGCAGGTCCTTGGACAATCTAGGAACAGGCATATCTGCTCACTGTATTGCTATGGGAGAGTTTTTATCAGTCTGCTGATATAGGGCCATTAGAGAAGCTCTTATCACTTGTATATGTTTATCTGCTTCCCATTAAAGTCTCGTGTCTGGGTCTCCATTGCAAAAAACCATTCATTCCCTGCTGACCTGGTGTGGAGGTGCCTGGCCCCAGCCAAACGCTCCCTATCGCTACATGTTGAGAGTGGCTTTGGGTTGCCCACTTGGTTCCCCGGTGACCAATTGGCATGGAGATCACTGATCAGGGAGGCGCTTGTTTCACTTGGGGCAGCTCCTGTCCATCTGTTCCCTTAGGCTGAGCAGGCAAAGGGGGCCAACAGGGAGTGCAGCGAGTGGAAGGAGTGATTCAGTCGCTCATCCCATTTCCATCTTCCTGTGCAAACAGACAGAAGGTGAATATCCCCCAATCACTGTGTTCCAAAAATGACCTTTAACCTTTACATCAGTGCAGAATTGGTGGGAAGGTACACCAGAGAACCCCCACAAAGTCTCTGTGGCAGTCTGCACTATGGACTGGAACATAAGAATGGCCAGATTGGGTCAGACCAATGGTCCATCCAACCTTGTATCCTATCTTCTGACAGTGGCTAATGCCAGGTGCTTCAGAGGGAATGAACAGAACAGGCAATCATTGAGTGATCCATCCCCTGTCATCCAGTCCCAGCATCTGTCAGTCAGCTGTTTAGGGACACCCAGAGCCTCTGGTTGTGTCCCTGACCATCTTGGCTAATAGCCATTGATGGACCTATCCTGCATGAACTTATCTAACTCTTTTTTGAACCCAGTGATAGTTTTGGCCATCACAACATCCCCTGGCAGTGAGTTCCACAGGGAAACTGTGGACAGACACACTTGTAGTGTGTAGTGTGCACAGAGGGTGAATCTAGTATCACATCCCAGATGAATTAGGGTTTTCGCAGCTCTAGAATTGGTGTTCATGTTCAGGGAGTGGAATGCCCTTGCAGTCACCAACTCCGAGCTGGACCAGCAGCCAAGGTCAAGACCATGTAGCCACGCTACAGCTGTGCAAAAGGGACCTACAGCTGCCAAAAGCGGTTCCTGTGATAGGGAACCTCCAGTGGTGTAGGAGCATTCCGGGGAGACAAAGCAGTGGCTGGAGCAAGGTGAAGGGGCATGGTGAGAGCACGGTGTGTTCCAGTGGTCCTGGGCTGGTTGAACAACCCCTGCGAAACATGGGCTAAGGCAGTCCTGTGACCATTGTCGTTACTATCACTAGACCAGGGCCCCCTTGTGCTAGGTACAAACTCTCAGTGAGAGACAGTCCCTGCGCCAGAAAACTTGCTGTTAAAGAGACTAAGGGTGGGAGGAGAAGCAGAGGCCCAGAGAGGCAGAGGGACTTGCCCATGGTCAGACTACAAGTTGGTGGAAGAGCCAGGAATGGAACCCAAGTCCCCTGTGTCCCAGTGCAGCACTAGACGAGAGGTTCCTAAGCTTTTTTTTCTTTGCCCCCCTTCTCTGTGGGAGTTGCATCACAGTCTCCCCTCCCCCCCAACTTCTGCCCGTCTTGAGCAGAAAAGGACTCACTGAGGGGAACGGGCAGCTCGTGGTTGGGGTGGCAGCAGGACCCAGCTGGCACCATCCCTGGAGGAGCCCATGGCAGCGTGGTGCAGAGCGGGCTGGGGTCCTCGCATTCCCTCCCCCTGCCCAGAGCCTCTCATTCCCGCAGGCTGTGGAGGGTTTGAAATACGCAGGGCTGCAGTCAGGCTAGGACAGCAGGAAGAGGGTACAGGGAGTGCCCAGCCATCTGGGTGGGGAGGAGGGGGAGCAGCAGGCTGCTGTCAGGGCGTGGCTGGGCAGGGTGGGGCTGCGCTCTCACCCACCCTGCTGACTCTCTGCATGCCCTCCCTGGTGCGGCACCCAGTCGGCCGTGGCCCTGTGTCCCAACTTCCATCCCCCTGATGCCTTGTCGCATCCCACAGTGTGAAAAGCAATGCACTCGCCACACTGCCTCCTTACAATCAGTCTGTGCAGTGCTTGACAAGCTAGGGCCTGCTCCTCTCCCATTGATGTCAGCATGAGCCACACGCCTGGGAGCTTGCTGAACTGGGCACGTGGCATGAGCCACATTCCCTGCCATGAAGGGCTCACAGAGAAGGCCCCATTCTTGGACAGGGTTTCATGAGCAAGGACCTTGGGGTCTCCAATGGGACTCTGTCTAGGGCTAAGGATCCCTACTTCAGCTCTCTGGGCAGGTTCAGGTAGTCAGGAACAGGGCCGCCCAGAGGATTCAGGGGGCCTGGGGCAAAGCAATTTCGGGGGTCCCTTCCATAAAAAAAAGTTGCAATACTATAGAATACAAACACTTGCAAGGTGGTAAGGTGATAGGGAACAGCCAGCATGGATTTGTAAAGAACAAATCATGTCAAACCAATCTGATAGCTTTCTTCGATAGGATAACGAGTCTTGTGGATAAGGGAGAAGCTGTGGATGTGGTATACCTAGACTTTAGTAAGGCATTTGATACGGTCTCGCATGATATTCTTATCGACAAACTAGGCAAATACAATTTAGATGGGGCTACTATAAGGTGGGTGCATAACTGGCTGGATAACCGTACTCAGAGAGTTGTTATTAATGGTTCCCAATCCTGCTGGAAAGGCATAACGAGTGGGGTTCCGCAGGGGTCTGTTTTGGGACCAGCTCTGTTCAATATCTTCATTAACGACTTAGATATTGGTATAGAAAGTACGATTATTAAGTTTGCGGATGATACCAAACTGGGAGGGATTGCAACTGCTTTGGAGGACAGGGTCATAATTCAAAATGATCTGGACAAATTGGAGAAATGGTCTGAGTTAAACAGGATGAAGTTTAACAAAGACAAATGCAATGTGCTCCACTTAGGAAGAAAAAATCAGTTTCACACATACAAAATGGGAAGAGACTGTCTAGGAAGGAGTACGGCAGAAAGGAATCTAGGGGTTATAGTGGACCACAAGCTAAATATGAGTCAACAGTGTGATGCTGTTGCAAAAAAAGCAAACGTGATTCTGGGATGTATTAACAGGTGTGTTGTGAGCAAGACACGAGAAGTCATTCTTCCGCTCTACTCTGCTCTGGTTAGGCCTCAGCTGGAGTATTGTGTCCAATTCTGGGCACCGCATTTCAAGAAAGATGTGGAGAAATTGGAAAGGGTCCAGAGAAGAGCAACAAGAATGATTAAAGGTCTTGAGAACATGACCTATGAAGGAAAGCTGAAAGAATTGGGTTTGTTTAGTTTGGAAAAGAGAAGACTGAGAGGGGACATGATAGCAGTTTTCAGGTATCTAAAAGGGTGTCATAAGGAGGAGGGAGAAAACTTGTTCACCTTAGCCTCTGAGGATAGAACAAGAAGCAATGGGCTTAAACTGCAGCAAGGGAGGTCTAGGTTGGACATTAGGAAAAAGTTCCTAACTGTCAGGGTGGTTAAACACTGGAATAAATTGCCTAGGGAGGTTGTGGAATCTCCATCTCTGGAGATATTTAAGAGTAGGTTAGATAAATGTCTATCAGGGATGGTCTAGACAGTATTTGGTCCTGCCATGCGGGCAGGGGACTGGACTCGATGACCTCTCGAGGTCCCTTCCAGTCCTAGAATCTATGAATCTATGAAAACAAAGTTACCCTGCGTGGTTTCGTTGTGTTGGGTACTCGGAGCGATCTGCACAACAGGGCTGAGACATGAGGAATTTTCTGTAGGTTCTTCCTTTGTTCTGGGGAGCCCAGAAACCTCACTGATCCTGGATCTCGGAGAAACAGCAGCTCTGCGCAGTGCTGGCATGCATCGTTCTCTTATGTCTGGCTTGTGCACCAGCCTTTTTTCCAGGGTGAAACTGGTGGATGCTGATTGCTCCAACATTTAATTCTGTGTCATTGTCACGGGCCCCTGGATGTGTTATCAGCTGGGATTGAACCTAAATCCAAGGGGATGTCTTCACTGCAATAATGGGGTGTGACAGCAGTCGAGCAGACATCCCCACGCTGCTCAGGTACCGGAGCAGCAAAGCTGCAGCAGTACACATTGTACAGGCCTGCCCAGGGTGCTGGGTAATTACTCGTGGAGCTAGCCTGTGCTAAACTTCTAACACCGTTGATCTGGAAGCAGCAGGGGAATCCAAGACTCTTACTTGGTCCAGCCACTGGGGGGGCAGAGAGGCCCACCACTGATGTGGGTGACATTATCACAGGGCCAGATTGGTGACTCACAGTTTCCCTTCCCCGCCCTCAGGGAGAAGGAGACCAGAGAGGCCACAGTGGGAAGTCTGAGCGAGCAGGTGGACTCCTCCCGTCTGGAGGTGGAAAAGCTGAGGACTCGCACCATGGAGCTGCAGAGGCAGCAAAGCCTCCTGGAGGAACAGAAGGAGGAGCTGGCAAAGGAGCGGGAGAGAGTGCGAAAGGAGCTGGAGCAAGGGTGAGGTGCCTCACATCTGCCCATGTTACTATGGCGTGCAGGGCAGTCCCGCTTGGGGGAGGGGGGTGCGGATTCCCCACTCCACGCTGATGTAATGGACAGTGCTGAGGGAGATGGCCCAGCATCCTCCTGGTAGGGAACCCACTCGGAGCCACGCCCACCTGACACTGGAGTGATGCAGGCCTGAGGCGCAGCCTTGACTGAAAGGTAGCAGTGAAGCTGGCGTGGCTGGGGAGCTGCTCACAATGTACATGACTGTAGGTTTCATTGCCATGGGGGAGTAAGCCCGGCTAGTCATTTACAACAATGCGAAGGCAGCGTAAACTCCTCCCAGATCAGAATGGTAGCGTTCACAGCCACACGGCGCTCGGGTGGCAAACGGCGCAGGCCAGCGGAGAAGTAAGGCCCTAGACTTTGCTGGAGAATTCATTTTCCTCCCTTTTGCGTGACTCCTGCAGGCAGAGGTCCCTGGAGCAGTTAGAAGAGAAGACCTCAGCCTTGAAGAAGGAGCTGGTGGTGGTAAAGGAGTCCTTGAACCAGGCCGTCCTGGAGAAGGACGTGCTGGAGAATGAGAAGGAATGTGTAAGCTGTGCTCTGTCTAAAGTAAGAATGGCGATGGTGTCCTAGGAGTTTGGCTAGCGATCAGCTGTTTCATGAACTTCACAGGCCAGTCTGTTCCCTTACTGAAGGCATTTTTCCAATTCTACCTCACCGCTACTTCTCCTGTCAGTTCACCTCCTCTGGGGAACCGAGTTTGGGTTTGTACAGCATTGTTCATGCTCAGCTTTTCCAAAAGCACTTAGAAGTGATGAGCTAGATCCTATTGCCAGGCAGTGGCTGGCAGGCAAACAGAACAGCTGTAACTTATCACCCAGAGAGCCCTGGGCCTGTGATCCCGTCTCCACTGGGAAAATGCCAGTGGATCCTTACTTCCAACCTAGATGCCCACTAGAACTTGACTGATGGAATGCTAATGTATCTGGTATGAACGACAGCATCACTCTGGGTCTGAACCGCATTATCAGCACAGACCATGAACCCAAATCCTAGTAGGAGACCTGAATCCATTGAAGTGGGATTTTCAAAACCACCCACCTGCTTTAGGAGTATGAGTCCCATTTCCTTTCAGTGAGACTTGGGCTCCTAAGTAGAACCAGATGGGTTTTTTGGCTGAAACTTGTTTCAGCAAAAAAAATGCAGATTTGGTGACACCAAAATGATTCACAGATTTGTGTCAGCGATGCTGAATTGCTTGGGCCTGAAAAATTTCCTTTTGAAAAAGTTGAAATATTTCATTTCAACATTTTTGAAGTGAAACATTTTGATTTTTTGAATTGAGTTTTCATTTAGAAATTTTGTTCAATTTAATTTTTAAAAGATTAAAAAATGTGAAACATTCAAAATGCAAATGAAATGTTTCATTTGACCGAAAATGAATTTTTCCCCCCACTTTTCTTTTTGTCAAAAAATTTCATTTTCGGGTCAACCCGAAGCAATTTTTTTTTCCTGGATTTTTTTTTTTTTTTTTGGAACCAAAATGAATAAGCAGTTATTCACCCCACCCTACTCCGAAGTCACTGAGGCTGTGTTGAAATCCCACCCAGTCTTCCAGCCTGAAGGCGGGAGTGACACCGGCTAAGTTGTATGGCAAGCGGGAGGCACAAAGACCTTGCCCATTGGCATTAGTTTCTCACACAGCCATAGGGGATGGGAGGACAGGGCTCTGGTAGAGTGGCGGGTGAGATGCCAGTGAATGGCATGACATTATTAGGAGTTGATATTTCAAAATGGAAAATGTGTTACTAGTTAATTTCTTTGCTTGGAAATAACATGCCCACCACAGGCATGACCCAATGCCTGTTGAAGTCAGTGGGTGTTAAACTGGTCTCCAGTGAATAACTACTGAGCAGCAGCCATCCCTGTGACGATAGCAGAATGATCTGCCCAGAGCTAAATCCATGCACCAAGAATTCTGTTAGGCAGCATTTTCAGAGGTACTAACTTTTCCAAACTAGTATATTACTTGCCACATCATAATAGCACTGCGTTACAACAACTGTCAGATCCACTTCATCTTCAGTAGGGTAGGAGATGTCCCGACTGGGGAACATGTTTTTTTCCCAGGAAAGAAGGGTTTCCCTGTCTCACTCAATAGTGTTCACTCTTCTAGGAAATCCTGGAGAGCAACTAGCAGTGAGCTGAGGGTAGAAGGGGTGGGAGAGCTTTTTAAAAATGTCCTAACCCCGATGAGTAGTATCATATAGAGCTCGCTGTCAGCAATTCCTTTGCAGGGGCCGAAGTACCGGGCCCCATCAATGGAGGTGCAGTCTGCTGGATTGCTAGCTGACCCAGCAGAGTGTACCTCACCCAAAGGGTCCATCAGGAAGAATGTGCAGGTCTAATTTATGGCACTTCGTAACAGTGGCCGGGCTAGCAAAAGAGTCTGGCACCCATGTGCTGGTCTTGTCTGTGGGTGAAATGAGCTATGGGGTTCGAGTGTGGCACAGCTGGCATGGGAGGCAAGCCCCCAGGAGGAATTCTCGTTAATGCATCAGTAGCCATTGGCCTAGCTGAGAATTTCCGAGGCTCCGCAGTGACAGTAGGAAGCTGGTAACAAATCTCGTTAGTATCTGATACAGCCCTGCAAAGACCAGAAAGCGGTAGCATCCCAGTGTGAACTGTGGGCTGAACAGTGCCATCAGGATGTACCCTGCTGTGGGGACATGAGCTGCAGGAGGCATTGGGCACTCATTGGGGTGAGTTCAATGGGAGTTTTGCATGAGGAAGGACTGTATGATTTGGCTCACAGATTGCCCAGGTCTGCTCCCTATGAACCACATAGTGGGATCTGCAGCTGTAGCAGCCTGACCACTAGCTTCCCACCAGATGAACTCAGAGCATCCCAAACCCTTCTGATATCAGTGCTTCAACCCCAGCGTGTATCGCAGAACCCAGGCCAGAGACTTCCTCGCACTGCGCCTCAGTTCTTCACCAGAGTGGAGCAGGGGCTCCTGAATCTCGGGGACAAGGAAGGTTTTACCTCACTGTGGCTGGAAAAACTCCCAGCCAGTGTTTAAGTGCTGAGGTTTCCCTTCTCCCCAGGCCAAGACCAAGAGTGCTGAGCTAGAACTAACCATAAACAAGCTGAGATCGGAGGACTCCGAGCTGAGAGACTCACTGGCCAAGATGGGGGCTCTGACTGAAGGTCTTGCCCAGGACAAGGTCAACCTCAACCGCCTTCTCCTGCAGGTAACAGACCTTACCCTGCCCATGGCCTCCACTCAACACCTGCACTCACCTCACATGCGTTCTGCTCCTGTGCCCCTCACAAACACCCCAGCCTACACTCTCCATGCTACCCCTGTGTCCATCACACAACCCCGCCCACGCACCCCCTGTGCCCATCACAAACACCCACCTACGTCCTCCGTGCTGCACCCTGTGCCCCTCACCCCCCCCCCCCTTCTCCCCCTCCCCCTCAGACCCCCCCGCCCTGCGCTCTGCCCTTGTGTCCATCACACACCCCTGCCCTGCACCCTGTGCCCATCACACCCCCACCCTGCGTTCTGCCTCTGTGCCCCTCACACCCCTACCCTGTGCCCATCACGAACACCCTAGCCTACGTCCTGCGCTCTGCCCCATTGCCCATCACACACCCCCGCCCTGCACCCCGTGTCCCTCAGACACCCCTGCCCTGCGTTCTGCCCGTGTCCCTCACACACCCCCACCCTGTGCCCCTCACACACCCCCACCCTGTGCCCCTCACAGGCTCCCACCCTGCGCTCTGGCCCAGTGCCCCTCACACGCTCCCGCCCTGCGCTCTTCCCCTGTGCTCCTCACACACCCTGCCCTGTGCCCATCATGAACACCCTAGCCTACGTCCTGCACTCTGCACCCCCTCTGCCCATACCCCCACACACTCCTGCCCTGCACTCTGCCCCTGTGTCCCTCACATGCCCACCCCCAGCCCATGACCTGCATTCTGTCACTCAGCACTGGCCCACGGAAGCTGGTTCCCTTATTCCATGCCAGAGCACTGTTAGGTACCCAGCCAAGATGTGCCAGCTGCAGGGCATCACCACAGCCCAGCCCAGGGAAGTGCCTCTCACCCCTTTGAAAGGGGCAGTTCCTGAACTTGGCTACAAGATACATGTGTCTGGGTGGGCAGGGTCAGGTCCCTTTGAGTGGGCTGTGCCCCTCCCTTCTCCATGGACCCTCCCCCCTCCACCACCAGAGCATCCCCCCTCCCTGCTCTCATTCAGCTCCTCTCTCTCGCTGGCCTGCCCTTACCCCCTGTGCTGGTGTTCTAGGAGCCTCATCTCAGGGCTTTGCCACCTCCAGCCCTGGGGCAGGGGTGCCGGCTGTACCAGAAGTGCCCATCACTCATCCAGCCACTCAGCTCCCACTTCTGGCTGCAGATTTCAACGCCAGGGCCTGCCGGATCCAGCCCCATCCCGCCGGGGCTGCTAGGTGGATCCAGAGAGAGGGGGGGAGGGAAAACAAAAATGTCTTACTCTGCCAAGTGAAAAGCATCCCTCTTGTTCTAGTGGCTGGGAACCCCCTCAGTGGGAGAGCAGGCTGCAGGGCAAAGGCAGAGTCCCCCCACCCCTACCCCAGGGCACCGAGCCATGCAGGACTGCGCTCTGTCGCCCATTCCTACCATTGGGGGGCATTCCTGTAGCACCAAGAGGCCCCAACCAGGATCAGGACCCGCCAAAGAGCTTACTGGGTAAAGAAACGAGGGCGGGAGACGGTAAATGTCATTGTCCCCTTTACCACTGGAAAGCGGAAGCCCAAAGAGAGGAAGGGCATGATCCACAAGGGACATAGGCACCTAGCTCCCATTGAGTCAGTGGGAGTTAAGCACCTACAGACCGTCTGTCAGCATCTCCTGGAGAAGCCCTGCCCCAGAGCACCCAGGCTGGTGGGTGAGGTTTGCCCTCTCCCACCTGCTGGTGTGAGGAGTGCAGGCAGCCGGAGTGCGCTCTCTTTAGCGATTCCCCCTCAGTTCTGAGCCATGGGACGTTCGTTTCGAATCTCTCTAACCCTGGGCTGTGCCAGAAATGTTTTAGCCTCATGAGCACTGTTCCAGCGGGGCTTGTAATCTCCGTGGGCATGTTACTTCAGGGAGGCCTGACATGGAGGGGTAGCGCAGCGGTTCCATGCTCGACTGCTTGTGCCAACAGCGGGTAGAACTTCCAAGGCACTTCAAGCACTGCCCAGCTCCCCCCACGAGTCTGGACCCTGCTTACGCACCACACAGAAGGCTTCACCACGCTTCTGTACCTTGCCAGCTCAGCCTATGGCACTTGAGCTCTCAGGAGCCACTGTGATGTCACGTCTCGCTAGTGTGACCGTCAGAGCCTCCAAGTTCTACGGACATGAAGGAATTGCAGTCCACAGGCCCCGCCAGGTCTGAGTTAGGGTTGGGGATATATTCCCTATCCAGGGAACATCCCCAGGCTGAGAACGGATCCCCCATGGCAACAGCAACTGTCGTCTCTGCAGCTGAGCTTCTAACAGCAGGCAGCTGTGCTGTTCTGATGTCACCTTAGAGCGGGCTAGCTCCCCTCTGCCCTTCACTCTTGTCAAGTCTGTAGGGTATTTCCTCCCAGGGCCGGCCCCTTATCCCACTGCCCTCTCTTTGGCTTTTGGGTGTGGTGAAGCTGGAGGAGGAGAAGAGCTCGCTGCTGGAGCAGAGGCGGGAGCTGGAGCAGGAGCGAGCTGGCCTGCGAGAGCAATTGGCACACCTGGAGCAGGAGCTGGCATGGATGAGCATGGCCAGGCGGGAGCTGGAGCAGAGCTGCCAGGCAGCAGAGGAGAGGCAGGAGGCACTGGGGGAAGAGATGAGGTTGCTGCGCAGGGAAAAAGCCCAGCTGCAGGATCACCTGACGCAGGTGAGAGCAGGCCCAGGTGGGGATCTGCCCCAGATAACGCTCCCTCCCTGCACACTGCTGGGCAAGAGCCAGTCTTCCCTTTGTGGCAAAGGTCTTCCTCCCCCATGCCTGCTCTTCTCCATTCCTCGCTTGTGGCGGCTTTGCTGTCAGCCAGCCAGTTCCTGGAGCAACTGGGAGCCACAGGAGCAGACTGGGAACAAGATGGGGACGCAGAGAGCAAATCCCCCCCCAAGTTGCTGTGTGGGAGAAATGACCTACCCCACCTGTATCCCTGGCGCAGAATACTGCCCTGGTGTGCCTGGCTGGTGAGATGGGGAGGGGCCGAGGGGGAGTAGCCCTCCCATGGGCATCTCTCTCCCTCCCTCTCTGCTGCCTGCAGTAGAGGTAGCCAGCAAAAGGGACTCCGGGAGCATGGAGGGCCCAGTCACACCCTTTGCTCTCTAGCTTTGCTCACCTTCCTTTCCTTGCTCTTCCAAGGCGAGCAGCCAGCAGCACACTCTGAGTGAGCAGCTGGCGCACAGACACCAGGAGCTGGAGATTCAGGCTGACGCCCTGCTCCGCACCGCCCAGGAGAAGGAGGAGCTCGCTAAGGAGAAGGCACAGCTGGCTGTGGAGTTCAATGTACTGGAGAGGCAGAGGAAGGGCCTGCTGGAAGAGACAGACATGCTCAGGTACCCCCTCCTTGCTCTTCAGATCCTGGGAGACTGGTGGAGTCCTGTGGGTATCACCTGGAGGCTGGCTAGTCTCTTATTTTGGGGGGGAGGGCTACTAAGGGGTGCCATGGCAGGGGAGAGAAGGTCTCTTCTCTGTGCCAGGAACTTCCTGCACTGCTGCTCCCAGTGCTACCTGCTGGTATGAGGCTGGGAACAGCCCAGATCAGTAATGGAGATGGACCAGAAGGGGCCATTCCCAACGGGGGAAGGCAAGGAATGCCAGGAGCCCCGCTTCTGTCCAACACGCTCCCCCTCCCTGCTGCTGCATTCACTCCTCTCCCTCCTGCTGAGGGGCACAGGGGGGCAACTGGTACCCAGCAGCACTGCAGAGCAAGGGAGGGAGTTTCCAGCTAAGCCCACACAGCCAGTGGACAGCTGGGAGGGTGGCTGTTCTCAGCCACTACCAACCTGTGTGGGGAGACATGATGCCCACACTCCCTTGGACTGGCGGGGACGCTGTGCCAGCTGACCTGGGCAGTCATTCACCATGCAGAGGCCTCGCTCCAGCTCCCTAGGCAGTTTGATGAAAGGATTGTTAATGCTTCACAGTCCTGGTTCTCCTCTGCCACACCCTGGTGGAAATGAAGCCTCACTTGCGCAGGAGGAAGTGGAGTTCTGCCCCTCGACCATGGTCTCTGGGCGAGGAGAGCCAGCCCCGTGCCCTTGTTCTGCCCAGACACGCTGACACAGCCATCACATGTGTGAGAGCCAGGCTCAGCCACGCTCATGTGGAATTGCTCCCAGGGGGCAGCTCCACAGGGCCTGCTGCTGGGAACACATCTGGCGAATGGAGAACAGGAGAGAGGCCCCAAGGAGCCTGTGTGCGGCAGATGTTCATACAGGGCACACACGGCATTCAAGCTGTGGCTGGGACAGCGCTGCATGGCTCATAGCTGAGCCATAAAGGCCTCAGGGCTCAGCATAGACAAAGGTTCCTCTCACAATCAAAGCCCCAACTAATTCACTGGAGGTCGGGGAAGTGATAGCCTCCATCACTGGCCCTGATTCTTTGCTGCTGTGCCACAGAGCTGAGAAGGACTCACTGGAGATCAGCCTTTTTGAGATGCAGGAGCTAGCAGCACAGCTGGAAGTCAAGAAGGAACAGCTGGAAGGGGAGAATCAGAGCCTTGACCAGACAAGGCAGGTGCTCCAAGGTAAAGTGTATGTGCTACTGCCAATCCCCACTTCCCTTCTGCCTATGGCTTCAGCTCCTGAGCTCAGTACCCCCGGCCCAAGTGGAGCCATGCCCATGTCCCTTGCCTTGTGGTATCATGGAGCTCCAGGCCCCATGGCCTGCAGCAGAGAGTAATGCCCGAATTGCACACCTGAGTGCGCTTTACGCAAGCAAGACCCTTGGGAGCCTCACAAGGGTTTCTTTGGTCCACAGTGGAGGTGGAGAAGGCCCAGCAGGAGCTGGAGCTGCAGGACACCACCCGGAGGCGGGATATAGACTCACTGAAGCAGCAGCTGGCGCAGATGGAACAAGAGACTCAGCTGTCTCTGAAGAACCAGAAGAAGGCCCATGAGGAGGACCTGGCATGGCTGAAACAGGAGAAGGTGAGAGCTGCAGCCTCCAGCCTCAGTGAGAGAGGAGCCCTACTGATCTGCAAACTGCAACTAGACACATTTGCAATAGAAATGAGGCAAACAGGTAGCATTGAGGATATCATACTATGGGGCGCCTTACGAAGGGCACAGCGACCCCTGGGTAAAGTACCATGATGCGCCTTACTCAGTGCACAGCGACACATGGGTAATGTACCATGGGGCACCTTACCCACGGCACGGTGACCCTAGGTAATATACCATAGGGTGCCTTAGACAGCGCATGGCGACTCCTCGGTAAGGTACCATGGGGCCCATTACCCAGGGCATGGCAACCCCTGGGTAACGTACCATGGGATGCCTTACGCAGGGCATACTGACCCCTGGGTAACATACCATGGGGCACCTCACCAGGGGCACAGTGCCCTGTAGTTTAGGTACCATGCAGCGCCTTACCTGGGACATGGCGACCCCTGGGTAACGTACCATGGGGCACCTAACCCCGGGCATGGTGACCCCTGGGCAACGTACCATGAGGCCCTGTAGCAAGGCTGAGTGGCCTCCCTCTGAGCAGGAGAGAGAGGGATGCTTACACGCCCCTTGGAGGGTGGAGCCTAGATCGCCCCATCCCTCTCGCCTGAAGTACCGGGGCGTGGCCGGAAGTATAAAAGACTGGCCCTGCAGCACAGTTGGGGGAGAGCCAGCGAAGGAGGAGGACGCTCAGCCTGTTCTCCCGAGAGGAACATGTGCCTGGCTGTTCATGATTTCCAGACAGCCCGGAGTACTTGCTGTCTGGCCCAGAGTACCCTGAAGAGCTGGAAGAGGCCTGCAGGCCGCAGCTACCAAGCCCCGGGGAGGCAGGAAGTAGCCCAGGGGCAGCCACGGAACAGCCGGCTGCAGAGCCCGGTGTGGCTCAGTCGGTGTGTTGCGGCTGGATCCCTGCCGATGCAGGGGTAACCAATCCTGCCCCTGCCAGGGCCCTGGGCTGGGACGTGGTGGAGTAGGGTGGGCCCGTGTCCCCCTGCCACCCCACCCCAGATGGCTGACCCCCTACACGATGCAAGGAGGCTCTAGCCCAGGACAGGAGCCCCTTATCTCTCACCTGGAAAGACTGTTTGCTGGCTATCTGGGCCCCGCCCAGGCTTAAACCAGCCCTGTACGGTCTGTTTGCTCGCTGTCTGCCTGAGCTCTACTCTGGCGAGAGCCAGCCCTTAAAGACTGTTTGGTTGTTGGCTGCTTGGGCCCAGCTCGGGCCGGGGCTACCCCTGATAGACTGTGTTGACGGGCGGACTACTTGAGCTACCCCAGCCCAGGCCAAAGCCTGGTAGTGACGGTTGGTCGCCCAGCCCTATTGTGGGCTCCCGGCTAACCCGCAAACCCTGGTCCTGACCAGACTGGGCCAACCTGAGTGGCCTCCCTCTGAGCGGGAGAGTGAGGGACACCTACACGCCCCTTACCCAGGGCATGATGACCCCTGGGTAATGTACCATGGGCACCTTAACCGGGGTGTGGTAACACCTGGGTAACATATCATGGGGCGCCTCACCTGGGGCACGGTTGTGACAGAGACCCCCTTGGGACTGTCACCTGACATGCTGAATTTACTTCTGAGTCTGTTTTCCCTGCCAGCTTGGGACTCCAGAACCCTGCCTTGTTGAGACAGACATGCTAGCCTGCTGCAACACAGACCCAGGTCTGGTCCACGCCCCCAAAGCTGCAGACTTTAAAAATGACCAAAAACTGCTCAGCAGGTCACCTCTCTCCAGCACCCAGACACCCAGCTCCCAATGGGATCCAAACCCCAAATAAATCAGTTTTACTCTGTATAAAGCTTTTACAGGGTAAACTCATAAATTGTACACCCTCTAACACTGGTAGAAAGATATGAACAGGTATTAATCACTTACTCTGGGTTCATTAATAAACAAAAGTGATTTTATTAAGTATAAAAAGTAGGATTTAAGTGGTTTCAAGTAATAACAGACACAACAACGTAAGTTACCAAGCCAAATAAAACAAAAACACACAAGTCTAAGCCTAATACATTAAGAAACTGTTTACAGGTAAAATCTCACCCTCAGAGATGTTCCCATAAGCTTCTTTCACAGGCTAGACTTCTTCCTAGTCTGGGCCCAATCCTTTCCCCTGGTATAGTCCTTGTTAGTTCCAGCTCAGGTGTTAACTCAGGGATTTTCATGACTGGCAGCCCCATTTGTTCTGTTCCACCCCCTTTTATAGCTTTGGCACAACGTGAGAATCTTGTCTCTCTGGATCCCCACCCATCCTTCTAAATGGAAAAGCACCAGGTTTAACATGGATTCCAGTATCAGGTGACATGATCACATGTCCTGTGAGACTCCAGCCTCCATTCTTCCAGGGCTGGACCACACATACCCAGGAAGGTTTGCAAGTAAACAGAGCCATGTACAGGCAATTGTCCTAGTCAATGGGAGCCATCCAGATTCCAAGCCACCATTAATGGCCCACACTTTGCATAATTACAGTAGGACCCCAGAGTTATATTTCATATTCCTAGTTTCAGATACAAGAATGATACATTCATACAAATAGGATGAACACACTCAGTAGATTATAAGCTTTGTAATGATACCTTACAAGAGACCTTTTGCCTAAAGCATATTCCAGTTACATTATATTCACACTCATTAGCAAATTTCCATAGAACATATGGAGTGCAACGTCACAATGGTAACCCCTGGTTAACGTATCATGGGGCGCCTTACCTGGGGCACAGTGCCCCTGGGTAACGTATCATGGGGTGCCTTACCTGGGGCATGGTGACCCATGGGTAATGTTGTGATGGGTTGGATCACATGTGTACCTTAGCTAAAGGTGCAAGGACTTTGTAACCTGCCACCAGTTCTAATTCTGCCATTTTCCCTGGCAACAAATCCTTCTCATGGACCAGGTCCCTCCTGACCACAGAAATCTCTGCACCAGTGTCCCTCAATCCCAGGAGTACTTTCCCATTAAGTTTAACAGCATGCATATGCTCACTGCTTGGTTGTGTAGAAGCAAACTTTACAAATCCTGTGTGGAAAGAGGCAGCAGCCTGGCTCTGAGAAGCAGCAGCTTCATGTGTTACCTGCTGCCTGTTCCCATTCAGGCAAGGAGATTTATTCCTCAGGTGGTCAGTGGATTTACAATTATAGCACCTCTTGGACTTCTCTGCTTGTACAGGAGATTTGGGACGAGTAACAGGGGAATGGGGAGGTGAACGCCCAGCCTCCTTTTTCCCCCAGGTGTAAAATGGTGATTCTGCTTTCCACCAACCCTGTACCTCTCTGCCAGTGGTTTATGTTTAATTGCAGCTTGTGACTGCTCAAAAGAGTTGCAAACTCAGTCAATCCACCCACTGCATCCACCTTTTTGTCTCACAAATACTGTTTTACATCATCACTACACATATTCAGGAATTGTTCCCGAGTAACCAAATCACACATTTCTTCCAAGCTTATAATGCAGGGATCGGCAACCTTTGGCACGCGGCTCGCCAGGGTAAGCACCCTGGCGGGCCGGGCCCATTTGTTTACCTGCCGTGTTCACAGGTTCGGCCAATCGCGGCTCCCACTGGCCGCGGTTCGCCATCCCAGGCCAATGGGGGCTGTGGGAAGTGGCACGGGCCGAGGGACGTGCTGGCTGCCGCTTCCCGCTTCCCACTGCCCCCATTGGCCTGGGACGGCCAACCACGGCCAGTGGGAGCCGTGATCGGCTGAACCTGCAGACGCGGCAGGTAAACAAACCGGCCCAGCCCGCCAGGGTGCTTACCCTGGCGAGCCGCGTGCCAAAGTTTGCCAATCCCCGTTATGCCTTTTCCCCCCTCACCCACTTATCTAACAAATCTCTCATTTCATTTACATAAGCCACATTACTCAATCCAGATCCGCTCTTAAGACTCCTGAATTTAACCCTGTAGGTTTCAGGTGTAATCTGAAACGGTTTCAAAACCAGTTCCTTAAATTTACTATAGTTTGAAGCATCATCAATAGGCATCTTATTGAATATGTCCAGAGCTCTTCCAGTCAATTTTGCTACCAATGTGGTCATTTTTTGATCGTCAGGAATTGTATGGAGGGTGCACAGTCTCTCAAAGGTGATGAAATATTCGGCAGTGTCACTGGACTCATCATACTGTGGACATAGTCGTTCCCATTTGTGGATTTTTGGGGAAGTGGGGCCAGCTGCTGGAGGGTTTTGTCTCTTCCACTCCATAACAGCCAGTTCATGCTTCTGGGCCTCAATCTGGGCCTGTATTTCTCTGTCCCTTAATTCCGGGGCTCTTTTGTCCCTGGCTGTCTCTGCTTCCATAGCTCTTTTGTGAGCAGCTTCCTCCCTGGCTGCCTCTGCTTCTTTGAGCTTCAATTGAAACTCCCTTTGCCTTCTCTTCTGCTTCCAGTCTGGCCAGCTCTAGTTTAGTAGCTGCCTCACTGCTAGTCATTTTCGTGCTTTCTTGTGCTGGGCCACACCCCTCTGCAGTTCACTGAAACTGGGATGCACTCAGCTCAGGGGCTTCTTAGTTAACAGACACTTGCCCAGTGCCCAGTGTTCAGCCGTTCTGGGCAATTTGCAACCTGTGCAGTTTTAGTTTCTTCTGATCTTCACTCTTACTTATTTTGCTTATTTTTCTGTCCCTATTTCCCTTACCCGAAATAAGCAAACAGAAAATAACAAACCACTTTGTTCTCCAGCCAACACACTTAAAACTCACTTAAAATCACTACCAGTATTTCAAAGCAATCAGCTGTGCACAGACCCAGCTCAGTGTGCCACTATGACAGGTTAGGTCACAGAAACCCCCTTGGGACTGCCACCTGATGTGGTAGGACTACCTCTGAGCCCGTTTTCCCTGCCAGCTTGGGACTCCAGTACCTTGCCTTGTTTGGGCCAGTCATGATTGTCTGCTGCAAACACAGATCCAAGTCTGAACCACATCCCCCACAAGCTGCAGGCTTAACTGAAAACAGCTTAAGAAGTGTTCCTGTCTCCAGCAC